TCTTTGGCTACCCCAATCTTGGAGCCTTTGCCAGTTGACAACATGCCTACCTTCACCGTTTTCACTCCTCACTACTCTGAAAAGATCTTGTTGTCTTTGAGAGAGATTATCAGAGAGGATGACCAGTTCTCCAGAGTTACCTTGTTGGAATACTTGAAGCAATTGCACCCAGTTGAGTGGGACTGTTTCGTGAAGGACACCAAGATTTTGGCTGAGGAAACCGCTGCTTTCGAGAATGCTGAGGACGAGGAGAGACTGAACGAGGATGGCTTGAAGGCCAAGATTGACGACTTGCCATTCTACTGTATTGGTTTCAAGTCTGCCGCTCCTGAGTACACTTTGAGAACAAGAATCTGGGCCTCTTTGAGATCTCAGACCTTGTACCGTACTGTTTCCGGTTTCATGAACTACGCTAGAGCTATCAAGTTGTTGTACCGTGTCGAGAACCCTGAATTGGTCCAGTACTTCGGTGGCGACCCCGAGGGATTGGAGTTGGCTTTGGAGAAGATGGCTAGAAGAAAGTTCAAGTTCGTCGTTTCCATGCAGAGATTGGCCAAGTTCAAGGAAGATGAAATGGAAAACGCTGAGTTCTTGTTGAGAGCCTACCCTGATTTGCAGATTGCTTACTTGGACGAAGAACCACCTTTGAACGAAGATGAGGAACCCCGTGTCTACTCCGCTTTGATTGATGGTCATTGTGAGGTGTTGGAGAACGGCAGACGTCGTCCTAAGTTCAGAATTCAATTGTCCGGTAACCCAATTTTGGGTGATGGTAAGTCTGATAACCAGAACCACGCTATCATTTTCCACAGAGGTGAATACATCCAGTTGATTGATGCTAACCAGGACAACTACCTTGAAGAATGTTTGAAGATTAGATCTGTTTTGGCTGAGTTCGAAGAATTGAACGTCGAGCACGTGAACCCTTACGCCCCTAACTTGAAGAGCACTAACGATGAGAAGCCTGCTCCTGTCGCCATTTTGGGTGCCAGAGAGTACATTTTCTCTGAGAACTCCGGTGTTTTGGGTGATGTTGCTGCTGGTAAGGAACAAACTTTCGGTACCTTGTTTGCGAGAACTTTGGCTCAGATTGGTGGTAAATTGCATTATGGTCACCCTGATTTCTTGAACGCTACTTTCATGTTGACAAGAGGTGGTGTTTCTAAGGCTCAGAAGGGATTGCACTTGAACGAAGATATCTACGCCGGTATGACTGCTATGTTGAGAGGTGGTAGAATCAAGCACTGTGAATACTACCAGTGTGGTAAGGGTAGAGATATGGGTTTCGGTTCTATCTGTAACTTTACCACCAAGATTGGTGCTGGTATGGGTGAGCAGATGTTGTCGAGAGAATACTACTACTTGTCCACTCAATTGCCTTTGGACAGATTCTTGTCGTTCTACTATGGTCACCCTGGTTTCCATATCAATAACTTGTTCATTCAGTTGTCTTTGCAAACTTTCATGTTGGTTTTGGCTAACTTGAACTCCTTGGCTCACGAATCTATCTTGTGTGACTACGACAGAAACGTTCCTGTGACTGACCCATTGTACCCTATCGGATGTTACAACTTGGACCCTGCTATCGACTGGATTAGACGTTATACTTTGTCCATTTTCATTGTTTTCTGGATTTCGTTTATTCCTTTGGTTGTTCAAGAGTTGATTGAAAGAGGTCTTTGGAAGGCTACTCAGAGATTCTTCAGACATTTCGTTTCTTTGTCTCCAATGTTCGAAGTTTTCCTTGCCATGATCTACTCCAACTCCTTGTCTACTGATTTGACTGTCGGTGGTGCCAGATATATCTCAACCGGTAGAGGTTTCGCTACCTCCCGTATTCCATTCTCGATTTTGTTCTCCAGATTTGCTGATTCTGCTATCTACATGGGTGCTAGATCTATGTTGATTATCTTGTTCGGTTCTGTTGCTCACTGGCAAGCACCATTGTTGTGGTTCTGGGCATCTTTGTCTGCATTGATGTTCTCTCCATTCGTTTTCAACCCACATCAATTTGCTTGGGAGGACTTCTTCATTGACTACCGTGACTTCATCAGATGGTTGTCTCGTGGTAACACCAAGTGGCACAGAAACTCCTGGATTGGTTACGTCAAGCTTTCCAGATCCAGAGTGACTGGTTTCAAGAGAAAGTTGACTGGTGACATCTCTGAGAAATCTGCCGGTGACGCTGCCAGAGCCCACAGATCTAATGTTTTCATGGCCGACTTCTTGCCATGTGTCTTCTACGCTGCTGGTCTTTTTGTCGCCTACACTTTCATTAACGCTCAGACTGGTGTCACCAGATGGAGTGTTGACGGAAGAGACTCTACTGACCCAATTCAAGTCAACTCTGTTGTCAGACTTATCATCTGTTCCCTTGCTCCAGTTGCCATTGACGCTGGTTGTTTGGGTGTCTGTCTTGCTATGGCCTGTTGTGCTGGTCCATTGTTGGGATTGTGCTGCAAGAAGACTGGTGCTGTTATTGCAGGTGTTGCCCACGGTGTCGCCGTTATTGTCCACTTGATCTTCTTCATTGTCATGTGGGTCTTGGAGGGCTTCAACTTCGCTAGAATGTTGTTGGGTATCATTACCATGATCTACATCCAGAGAGTCCTCTTCAAGATCTTGACCTTGCTCTTCTTGACCAGAGAGTTTAAGAACGACAAGTCCAACACTGCCTTCTGGACCGGTAAGTGGTACAACACTGGTATGGGTTACATGGCTGCTACCCAGCCTGCCAGAGAGTTCGTTGCTAAGATTATTGAGATGTCTGAGTTCGCCGGTGACTTCATCCTTGCTCACTTGATCTTGTTCATTCAGCTCCCAATCTTGTGCGTTCCACTCATTGACAGATGGCACTCTACCATGTTGTTCTGGTTGAAGCCATCTAGACTCATTAGACCTCCTATCTACTCCTTGAAGCAGGCTAAGTTGAGAAAGAGAATTGTCAGAAAGTACTGTACTTTGTACTTTGCCATTCTCGTGCTCTTCGTCATTATCATTGCTGCTCCAGCTGTCGCTGGTGGCCAACTTGACTCCAGTCTTGGGTCCAACATGACCGGTACCTTCGAGGGTCTCTTCCAGCCCAGAAAGGTCTCGAACAATGACACTGGTAGAGTCTCCTCTTGGTGGTCTACTGGTGAAAACAAGATCACTTTCTGGAGTTACACTCCAACGACGTCCAACGTCTACACTACCAAGCCTTTCTAAGCTGGTATGTCTGTTCATTATTTTATATTGGTTTGAATTATACAGTTGTATTCGAAATTTTACAGTAGCGTAGCTATATTGTCATAAGTAGTCGTCTATTAATGCTAATTTTTGGGTTGGGTCTCGTCCTTTTTCAACAAGGCGTGATAACCGTTGAGGACCTCCTCACATTTGAGAGGCGTCTCACAGGAAGACCATTGAGCCACCAAATCCCCGGAATAGTAATGCATTTGATCCTGTGCTTTATCATCTAAAGCGCTTTCGCTGTGTAAGGAGTTGATGGTTCTAGCGGGCACAATGGCTGTTCTGCTCAAGACAAATGGATGCCACTGTAAGAAATGTGTAATGGCCGACTCTGGGCCATAGGGGAAATTGTTATAATTGAGGAACAAGCGGTCTCCCCAGGTATCTAGTAGACCCTTGCCCAAGAAATCATTCTTGACAATAAAAGAGTTGGACTCGATCTTTCTGTCAGATTGCGTGAAAATAAGTCTGACCCTGTTAGGCTGTACGTTTTTATAAGTTTTGATGAGTCCATCAGGTGGGATAACAGGTTGCTCCAAGAGCATGCTCTTTCTCAAGGACTCCGTGTCGACCAAATACTCTATAAGGTCAACTTTCTGGTTCATGACGAGACCATCCTGGTCGAAATACCAGAACCATTCGGCGTGAGGAAATGCAAACATGGCGGCTCGGAGACAGTAGAGACGCACCCACTTTGACCGCTCTTTATCGGTCAAGAAGTTTAAGGAGTTCATCAACGGCACAAATTCTTGCACCCACCTGACGTACACACCGTAATTTTGGGCATAGCCGTAATCGACTCTGTTTTGGATGATTTTTGTGATGGCGTCCATGGAGTAACGGTCAAAGTCGATTGCTGTGACGATGACTGCTCTGGGATAGTTCTTCAATGACTTTGGCTTGAACACCTTTTTGTCGTGGTTCTTGAAGTCATTCTTGACTCTGGCCTCCTCCAGTTTGGCATTCTCCGCTTCCTCTTTTTGCTTTTGAGCAACAGGATCTTTGTCGTCAAGCACATTAAGCGACTGCAATAACGTTTTTTGCAATTCAGGCACCTCAGCGTCCTGGACTCTCACTTGTCTCACAAGGTTTTTCGCTCCAAGCTCCTTAAGCTTGGGCACGTCCTCAACCACAGGGTATATATATTTAGATGGTGTCTCGATGACATGTTCTGATGTGTAAGGGTATGCTGCTGGATAGCGTGGAGCTGGAGGAGCAAACGGGTAAGTGATCCACCTGAAAGGGTTGAAAAACCAGAAAACGATTGCGACCAATATAAGGATTCCAAATTTATTGGTTCTCGGACGGATGGATTTGAAGGTTGCCGGTTCAGGCAAAAACAGACTGGATTGGCCTGCCTTCAGCTTGGGCCTTAATCGGAGAGTAAGCATGTATGGGTAGGATCAAAACGAGGTTGGTGTTTTGCGAAGATATGAAGAAGGTGAGTGCAGGACAAACACAACAAAGAACAGACACCTGGGATGGAAGAACATTGTAGAAAGTTGAAAATTCAAAAAGCAATTGTATATCGGTGATTTATCAATATTCAAGAAAATGTGCTTCTAATTATTGTGTTTGTCATGTCCTGTCATTGAAGGGAGACTTCGGGGTGAGACAGGCCAAGAAAATCTGGCAGGGTAGCGATCCTTGAGGTTAGTAGGAATCTTCTACGATGAAGCACAGCGGCTGAAGCAATGGAATGTATGAAAAACCGGATATTTGTATGACGAGGAAAACTCCCTGTAGCATTCAAGAATGCAATGTATGTATTATGTCAGACCGACGCGGTCCTCGATCACTTGAAGGGCAACCTGCCTTCTTCTCTCAGCCACAGAGTTGGCAATCAGCCTGTTCGCCTGGCTCACTTGCTCAGAGAGCTTCTGGGCACGCAAGTTACTCTGTTCGACAGCGTCGTCGTTGAACGGCGTCACAATGCCCAAAAGCACACTCACGTCGTAAATCAGGTTGACAACCACCGATACGGGCGCCTTGATAGCGCGAGGGAAGAAGTCCACGAGCTGGAAGGCATCGGACGCGTCTCCGCTTGTGACGGTGGCGTTGCTCTGGTCACCGCTGACCGACGTAACTGGCAAGAGTGGATCGCTCGAGAAGGTCTGGTAGAATCTCAAGTAGTTGTATGAGACGAAAAAGGACACCACCGAGGGCACGGCAGGGTACAAGGATCTCGAGCTAAGCAACGACCACAAGCTTACCGTCACCAAAAGCATGAATGGAACGTGTTTCACGCGGAAGTTGATGAGACCGTGGAACAAGATGACATGGTGCTCGGGGATGAGTTGCTTGATCACCACGAGGAACCCGAAAAAGTACGAGATCCCGCCTCCCAATGGCTTGTCCATGCCGCCCACGTCTTCTCTGAATATATTGCTCACGATGGCAATCATGACCGTGGTCAAATTTGTGATGGAGCCGACCAAGACAATGAACTTGAGCACCTCCGTAGGGCCCCAGAACTTTTCGATGTAGTTTGTGGCGGCAAAAAGCACAGCGGCGGAAACCAAGAACAGCGAGATCGATATCTCCGCAAAAATCGCCGTCACAAACACCCAGGGGTGTGTGATAGCGTGTCTAGGGATCAACTGGATGAAGGGTACATTGATAGCATGTAGGCTGGTGGGTTCTTCCAATTGGTTGACATAGTGTATTTTGAGCAACAACACCAATGACGACGTAGCCATCAAAGCGGCTAGAGCTGCACGCGTAGACCGGGCAGTAGACCTCCACAGCGTAGGAAGAGCCATGGTGTAAAAGCAGTAGTAGGTGGTTTGGGTATGACTTGGGGCGGTGCAGGAAATTATAGCTGGCTCAATGAGAGTCTTTTCGCAGCCAGTACCATCCCTGGAGGTAGTTCGAAAATCGGTTTGTCTGACCGCTTGAGTTCTCGTATTTTTTCCCATTGGTAAATTGTTTTCTGCATTCGGGTGAGACTCCAGTCGTTTTCGGCATTCACGGTGGGGATGACCTCGCCGATGTTGAAAAATACCACAAAGTACGAGAGCTCCCTGAAGGACAGATGCTCGCTGTAGGGTAGGGAGTATATTTTGCACGTTGAGCTGTCGATTTTGCCTTTTTTGATTTTGTCTGGTGGGTTTTGCCGGAGAACATCGTGTCTGTATGAGTAGGCGGGTTTCAGCGAAAGAACACTAACCAGGGATACGAGACTCACGCCTTGGGCTTCCAACATGGGCACTTCGTCTTCAGCATCAACGAAATTATCGTCGGTGACATGGTTTTCAAAGGTCCAGCCCGTGGGCCGAAGCCCGATACACCGCTCGAAATGCTTGAAGTACTCGTTGTGGTTGAAATAATTGGCCATTTCCTGTGCTTGACCCACGATTTTCATGGGGACAAGATGGATGATGGCATTGGGGTGGTTGCCGAGATCGTCGTCTGTGATAACCGAATCGAGGTAAGCGTCACCGTAAGCTTTGATGATATCTTTTTTGTCGCCTCGGCTGTTGATGTTGGAGATGTAGATGGGGCATTGTAGCTTCTTGGATATGGCGATCGCAAGCTTCTCTTTGCCTATGACGTAGGTGCCCACCAAAATCAAAAACTTCTTCTTTTTCTTCTGTGCCCCTCGGAAAAGAAAATCTGTGATTCGGCTCTGTGCTTGCGTTCCGAACCACTCGCCAAAAAGCTTATCGTCGCTCACAAGGTCTGAAAACATATCTGCCACACTGGAACAAATAAGCTCCTGTTTTGGAAAGTTGTATTTCGGCGACATGTACGTCGTGTCGAGATACACCTTTTCCAATTTTAGCGGCAGCTTCAGCTCGATGTGGAAAGGTCGTAGCGCTGGATGGTTGACCATTTTCGGGCACACTCTGAAGTCACCACAATGCAATTTGTATGTAGATTCGCCTCGTACATTAACGGATTCGAAAAGAAAAATGACCGCTCCGGGGCAGTGGTTGGCGTCGATCGGCGTCGTATAAATACCAGGAGTTTTCTCCTGTGAAGGGTGGGCCTCTTCGGGACCCTCATAGGAATATACCTTATACCGCACATCAGGGTCCATCGGGTAGATGAACTCCGGGTCGATCTTGAACTTGATCGCTAGTAGCTTACCTGTGATCGTGGAGCAGTATATGATTTTCGAACCAAGCGTTCTTTCACGAGGCCACCGTTTGGTGATGCCTCCGTAGTGGTCTGAATGGAAATGCGATAAGAAGTACTGGGTAATCGTCTCGTGCGGCTTGAAACTGAAGGCGTCCATGGAGATTTCGTATTTTCTGTCGTAGTCGGGCCAAAATGTCAAGATCTTCAAGTCTGGAATGGGTGTCTTCCGTGAAGACGGTAGAAGTTCTGTTGGTGATTCCTCCAGCTCTATCCTCAGTCTTTGCCGCTTGGGCACCTCCTCCTTGGAGTTGACATACCGAAGCCTGTCTTTTTGTACGGCTGAAAGCGACGCTTTTCTCTTTTTAGAAGACGAGCTTTTTCCAGGAAGCGGAGGTCTTTCCGGTACTTCCTCCTTCACCTCATCGCTGGTGCCATTTTGCAGCCGCTCAGTTTCGATCTTTACCTCTTCAAAAGTCTCGATCTTCACCTCCTCCGTTTTCACAGGCACCTCTTCTTTCACAGTGCTCATTGTGAGGCACTCCTCCACATGCTTGATTCGAAAATCCATGTCCCATGGTTCCATGGTGGTGGCGCATACGGGACATAGGATAGGCTCCGGGGTAATTTTCGGTATGATGGGCTCGTCCTCGGTCAAATCCACATGGGCTTGCGTACGTGCTTGTTGGAAGGAAAACTCGAGGATCGACGCCTGTTTTTGCTTTCGAACCATGGAGTTTAAAGTAAGGCAACTTGGAAATCTGGGGCAGCAATGGCGTTGGTGCACGGGTGCACAGAGTGACCTCATTGCAGCCGTTGGGGTTTGGGCGATAAAGGGGGGCTAGAGTGTGGCATATTTGGATGATTTTTTGTTTTTAGTGGTTTCAACTGCTTAAGAAACTTGGAGGTCAATTGTTTTGAGAAATTTCATCTTTTGTGGTGCTATTCTATTGTCCCCGTTACTCATCTCTAGATCAAGCATAATACGCATCGCAGACGCATTGAGACGTCACAGATAGACTACTACTCCAGCTGATACTCTCACAGATCGAGATATCAAAGACTCCACTCAAGCATACTGAAAGCACACACACCCAATTCCAAACCAAACCTTTCTCCATTTCCACCAATTAACTCAAAACTCCCCAGATGGGCCTATTATCGATAATACGAAAACAAAAGCTCAAGGACCACGAGATCCGTGTACTCATCTTGGGGCTCGACAACGCAGGAAAGTCCACTATAGTGAGTAGTCTTATGGGTCTGGATCCTCGAGATGTGGCTCCCACGACTGGGTTTCTGATCCACACATTTCCATGGAAAGGTTACAATATCAACGCATGGGACATTGGAGGGCAGCTTCTGCTTCGAGGATTCTGGAGCAATTACTTCGATCGATCCGATGTCATTATCTGGGTAATTGACGGATCCAACGTGGATCAGCTAGAAGAGTCGTACAGAGAATTGCGAGAGAAGGTGATTCAGCAGGACCAGCTATCGGGGGTCTACTTTGTGGTTTTGATCAATAAGGTCGATTTGATGGGGGACGAAGAGAAAATGGAGGTAAAGAGACTGGTTGAGGAATCGTTACAGTTGTCCAGTGAAGTTCCATCTGATAAGTATACCATTCGGACTGTTTCTGGAATGACACGCGAGGGTCTTCCTGAGGCGGTTGACTGGATCATCGAGAAGGACGTGTGGTGAAGTGCAAGCATTTTCAGGGTCGTCTACCTCATTGAATTTGCCAAATTTGTGCATCGTGAGTGTCATAATGAGTACCTCCCACTGTGCCACAATGGTACGCAAAGCCCGCATTGAAGCTTCTGGCTAGATCCTTTAAGCACAGAGTTTAGACTTCGGGATTACGTATACCGGCTTAAACAACCCTCCTAACAAATTATTCACGAAAACATTTTTTCACCTGAACCGAACCTTATTGCACTCGGTCCTTTCGGCCTTTACGCTCCCCACGCATCGCGAACCTGGACCCCAGCCCAAATCCAATTCCACGCCAGTTCCTCAGCCTTGTCACCATTGGGGAAATTTGCAAACACAGCTTCGCACTCATAACGGTTTGCTACGATCCACCGTGTGATGCCGCAGCCGTTTCGGGCAAGCTGTGGTACGAAAAAGTGCCCAGACGCTGTGGGTGCATTACCGACGCCAAAATGTCTCAGACGCCCCATCGGTTTATTTGGCGACGGCGCCGTGGATCTGTTTGCATGGCGCGAGCGGATGCTGAAAAAAGCACAATTAGCGTCGAAAACGGCAGGTAAATGAGGGTCTCACCTGTGGAAGCGGTGCACCATGGCCCCATTGCGGCGGTCATTATCGCCCAAGTGGGCTTAAATCACGGCCGCGATTCGTGTCTGTTTACCTCGCGCGGGCCCGAGACCGAGACCACTGAGAGAGAGCACCACGATTTGTGGGAAGGGGATTTTATGGGGATTTGAAAATTATATGGTTGGAATCGCAAAAGTCCACAGTTTATTAATCTCCCTTTTTGCTACCATTAAAATTCACCGGGGCCCCGTTTGTCCACGCTTTGTCGCCTCGCTAGCACCCCCTGGGACGCGAAACAAGCAGCAGTCCTGCCCCAGGGTCGCGCTACTGCCGCCGTGCTTTAGGCCCTGGCTGCGTTGAATATAAGGAGCGATGGAGCCGGCTTGGCTGCGATTAGCTTTCGTGGTTATCTTTTGAATTTCGCTGCCGCCGATCAAATCTGATCACCTACTCCAATCGCCCCAGCAAAACATCCCCGTTTCATCCCATGTCTGCGATTGTGTCCGCCCTCACCCAGTGTGAGTTGGAGGAAAACAACAACTTGGTGGAGATCCTCAGCGTGGTGAGATCCAGCCGGCGGTCTCTGAGCGACGCCAAACTCGCTCTGGTGGTTCGCGGCTTGTGTACCCAGAACCTGGCCCTTTTGGCCTTGCTCAGGCAGTGCGACCAGGAAATGGCCAATGACGAGAAAGAGGTCTTCAAGACGTTGGTCAATAACTTTATTGTGTGGTTTGAGGATGCTCTTGTGGTGTTTGAGCGCTACTTGCTGTGTTTCCCCTTGCCAGAGGACTACGACTATGCTAAGTTCCTGAAACCGGTGCTCCATGTGGGCTGCTACTCGGCCTTCATCGATCTGGCCATCTCCAGCTTGAGAAATCCGTTTATTGTGGAGAAATTGACTTCCTTCAGATGCAACATCACCAGCTTGCTCGACCGCTACTCGGAGCACTTGAAGCTTCGTAATTTGGACAAGATCTCGTTTGACAATGTCCAGGCTTTTGGCGGCAACAAGGTGTCCTGCTCATTCACCATCGACGAGATTGTCGACAGAACGAAAAATGAGCCTTTGTCCGTCGGCCTGGCCCAGGTGGAATTGCTCCTTCTAAACCTCAAAAGCAGCTCCGGTGCTCCCCGTTCTCCAGGCTCCAACTTCAACGCATTGGCTGTTCTTCAACGCCAGGGTGACGACGACCCTCGTCTTTTGATGTACCCTCCATTCCGTATCAACGAAGTTGCTATTGGTCTTGGGAAAGAGGGTCTCTCGTTGCAGGCCATCTCCTTCTTTTCAAAAGCTCCCCTGGACAACATCACCATTTCTGGAAAGCCCGAGACCTTGGAACGCTGGCACGGCAAGCTCTCCAAAATCCTTCCCCAGATCAACAATAAGTTTGTCCCCAATGACAAGCTTGAGCTCGCTGGTTTGGGCATTTCTTGTCTGAGCTCCGACGAAGATTCGGCAGATTCACCTAATAACGGCAGCTTTGCCTCTTTCACGCCGCCTTCGGAGGACATGTCTGATGAGGAGGTCAAACTGCCTGCCGAAATCATGAAAAAGACGCTCCAAAGCGGAAGAACTTCCACCGGCGAGGTCATCAGAACCATGAACGTCGTGAACAGTGTGGTTCCCGGTTCTGCAAAGGCCGAATACTGCCATGCTGATGATGTCGAGTCTGTGATAAGCAGCGATGATGACGAGGAGCTTGAAGCTTCGTTCGAGATGGTTAAGCCAAAACCCAGATCCGTGTCGCCTCCACAGGCAACTGTTTACCGAAACGCAGCTGGTTCTGCTATCAACATCCACGAATTTGGCAAAAACTACAACCCATCGTTTGCCTCTGTTAATGAGATTGGCGAGAGAAAACCAAAGAAGAACTTCCTCTCCAGCTTGTTCAAGAAGAACAAGTCTAAGGAATCCCTTGTTGAAAAGCCAGCTGAGCTGGCTCCAGTCAAGGAGAAGCCCAGCCAGGCACCACCAAAGAAGACAAAACCTGCTCAAAAGAGTGCTCCAAAAACTGCTTCGAAGCCACAAAACAAGGCCAGAGAGCCCAGAATCAAAAAGCCCGTCGACAAATCGAAAGAATTGCCCACACCTACGCTTGAGCAACAGAAGGAGGCTCGCCAAGTTCAGAAGCCTCCTCCACTTGACTTGTCCAATATACCCAAGAATTCGGAGGCCTCCTCGGGTCCTCTGAGTGCTACTTCAAGCACTTTCAGAAGAACATTGCCATCCCCATTTGCATTGCCTTCTTCTACATCCACCTACTTCTTCAAGCCTCCCACGCCAGCTCCAGTTAGCAACAACAACTCGTCCACGAGTTTGACGAGCAACACCTCGGAGCAGCCTTTGAAGATTCCAGGCTCGTTGAAGGATGTTATCAACTCCGACAGTACTATTGACTTCTACATCACACCCACATCGCCCAAGACGTTGAAGGTTTCTAAATGGAAGCACAAGTGTGCCAAGTGGGAGATGCTCACCACCAACGAGAACCTCTTCGTCAAGATTGTGACCAACTACGAGATGCACAAAGCGTGGTTGCTTTTCTTCAAGGAGGAGTATGACGAGGAGTACGACGAGGTCATCGACAAGCCTCTCCTCATCATGAACTTGGACAACAGCACCCACGTCAGAAAGTCGTCAGCTTTGGATTTGGAGATCCAGGCCGCCAACTCCATTGACGGCGAGAAGATGCTGATCATGATCCGCTGCTTGAACGGTGGCTTGATGAACGACCTTACCAAGAACTTGGAGGACATGGTGGACATGATGTGCAGCAAGTCGCCCAGCAGAACCACACCTTCCGAGTCCAACTCCACGTTGATGTCTTCGCTCATGAGCAAGCCTTCTCTCTCGTCCACCTTGACCAGTATCCATCTTGAAGATTCAAGAGAGAACAGCTTGAGTCCTCAGGTGGCACAAGAAGCACAACAAGAAACAGCCTCCAACATGCTTTTGCTCGACCGTATGACCGTGAGACTTCACAAGCAGTTGGAGTCCTACGACAAGATCCACGAGTTGTCGTCGTGGAAAACCCTCGCCATGTACACCTTGAGTGTGTGCCATTCAGCCGGCAGCGTCGACAATGGCCTGTACCACTTGATCTTGGAGAGCCAGGGCAGAGGTGACGAGCCAAAGGAGATTTCCTGGTCGTTTGGCGAAGAGAAGGTGAACGAACGAATGGAGAAGATCGGCAAGGCTGGGTTGTTGGTGAGACCAGGTCTGGACATCTACATGATCGAGTGTAAGTGCAAGAGTCAGCTCCGTCGGCTTCAGGGACTCTTTTAGGCCGCAAGGCTTCTTTTAATTGACTGGCCGCCGCCAGAAACGACTGTATTAATAGGTAATTAATAGACACTAGGAACCACCTTTTGGTAGCTTTTCTCGCGGTTGCAAAAAACCCACTTTTGCACTACATGCTTTTCCACAAATGGGCCTCTCGGGCCCTCCTTCCGTGTCTCTTCAGCCTCGTAGCAGCCTCTCCGCCCCAAGGCCCCATCCACATCTCTTCCAACAAGTTCTTCGATGAAAACGGGTCCCAGTTCTTCATCAAAGGCATAGCGTACCAGCGCCAGATTCCAGGGTACGAACACGAGCCGTTTCTGGAAATCCCCAAGGGATACATCGACCTGCTTGCACATCCTTCCAAGTGTCTTCCCGACGTGGAGCTCCTCAAGGAACTCAATGTCAATACTGTTCGTGTGTACCAGGTGGACCCGGACCAGGACCACGAGATATGTATGCATGCTTTGGCGAAAAACGGTATCTACGTTTTGGTGGATCTTCTGGAGCCCAAGCACTCCATTAACAGAGAGGACCCTTCGTGGCACACCGAGCTTCTTGGTCACTTTCGCCAGGTGGTTGACAACATGAGTAAATACGAGAATGTGCTTGGGTTCATTGCGGGAAACGAGGTGGTGACTTCTGTCCAAGACGCCCTGGCGGCAGCGTTTGTAAAGGCTGCCATCCGCGACACCAAGGCCTACCAGAAACAAAAAGGGTACCGCCAAATACCCATAGGATACACTGCCAACGACGATACAGAAACACGAGAAAACAGTTTGCGGTATTTTCAATGTGGAAACACCACGGCGGATTTCTACGGCATCAATATGTTCGAATGGTGTGGGTACTCTTCGTTTGCAGCCAGTGGGCTCCGGGCGAGAACTGAGGAGTTCGCGGTGCTGGCGGTGCCGGTTTTCCTCAGCGAGTTTGGGTGCAACCTGGTGAGACCCCGGCCGTTTACGGACACAGACTCGTTGTACGGCCCGGAGATGACCGGGGTGTGGCTGGGCGGCGTCGCCTACGAGTTTTTCGAAAACGAAAACCATTTTGGCGTGGTGCACGAGAGCCAAGGGCGGTTGCAAAAACTGGCTGAGTTCGATACGCTCCGGCTCCGGTTTACTGCCGCGCAGCCTAGGGCCACCGAGACTAGGGCGAAAAAAACCGCTCCAGCCTGCCCCAACTGGCCCGCGCTGGCCCAGCTTCCACCACCGCCAGACCCGGAGATTTGCGGGTGTTTGCGCCTGGCGGTCACGTGTGTGCCCCGGACGGGTCCCGGCGACTACGAAAGTTTCGAATTGTCTTCACAAAACCGGGATTTGTTGGCGCTGGTGTGTGAAAAGATCGACTGTTCGGAGATCGAGGCAGATGGTGCCAGGGGAGTATACGGCAGATTCAGCGGGTGCGCGCCCCAAGACCGTTTAGCCTGGGCGCTCACTGCCGAAGGGTCCTGTGATTCGAAAATGGCCAAAACGAAGGAAAGGGAAGAGGGCTCTTATGGAGCCGATTTTTGGAAGAATTTGAAGAAATCGGCTTCTCCAAGCTCAGTTTCTCCAGAATCGTCTTTGGAGCTGACTCTGTCGCTGTCGATTGAACTGATGAGTACGATTTCGCAGCCACTGACCTCTGCCATTCCGAAAAACAACAGCATTGTGGAGTACCACTTGAACGGGGCCTGCCGGGCAGATCCTCGCGATTTGGGCGACCTTCTTGTGTTTGGTCACTGGGTTCAATTCATGATGGCGATCTTCTACACGGGCTGGCGGGTCTAGCCGGGTGGTAGTACTTAATTAATGAATGAAATGAAGATTTAATTAGGAGTTTATTTGATGCATTTGTTGGTGGGCTACCTGATTTGGTATTCTAGGTACAACCAGATTGTGTTGTGGTGGAAAGGCAGCTGTATGGTGGATTATGTATTTACTGAAGAAGTACAACCTCTAGCACATTAATTGACTAGGATTAGACAACAATTGACCTTTTCTGTTGCTTTATGTCTGCAAGTATTGCTTTATGATTTCAAGTGCTTTCTACCAAGAAAATATTCTATTTCAGGTAAAATTTGTTTCAAAAGAACTATCCAACAAACTCCGAGAGTCAACCTAGCCTGACGAATCGAATAAATCAAACCTCCTCAATTCCGCTACTGTTTGTCGAAAATTTGAACTGCCCTTCGATCAGCTCTCCCCTTCATTTTCCGACCTACATCCCCGTTCATGCTTCGTTAATTATATGTACTTCGATGCCTAGTCCTTCTTGGGGCCCCAGTTCAAGCCCAAAAAGCCCGTGCCCTTGCCGAAGCCGGCACCTCTAGGAGCAAAGTTTTTAGGCAGAAACTTGGGCTCAATGACGTACACTACCTTGCGGTTGGACAACTCAAGAGCAATATACGAGAACTCCGAGCTCCACCATGAATTGTCAACTTGCTCGAGAATCACACTGGCGTGACGGCCGTTGGGCGTCACAACGTGGAAACGCATAGCCAATCTGTCCTTTCCATCAGGGCCGCGCTTCTTGATACCCTGTGGTGGTCTGTTTCTGGTCCATCTGTCTCCTCCAGTCTCACCGAAGGCCTTAAGTCTGTCGCCCAGCTTGAATCCAAGAGCCTCTTGGGCAGCAGCACTCTTCTCCACCTCCTTCAAGGCTTTGTTAAACGTTCTGGTGTCTCCAGAGGGCAAGAAGAGCTCCAGGAGAATGAGGTATATGACGAGACCAGAAACGGCTACTGCACCAATGACCATGCCTGTGGCGGCAGAAAAGGTGAAGAATCTAGTGATTCTGGAAAGAATTGCCTTACCACGGGCGTTTTTGTCGGACTTTGGAGGAGGTGGAGGCGGTGGTGGTGCCGTTTTCGTGGAATAGGCTCTTCCCACTTTGGGAAATAAGGGTAATGCTAGGCGCTGTGCTGGAGATATGGAAGTCTTTGGCAAAACCAACCTGGCCAATGGGCTGGATCTCAAGATGAGGCCCCTTTGGGAAAGCCGAGCAAGCGGTCTGATGCCAATCATGGTAGTAATTGAGGTAAGAGAAATCGGCTTCTGGGGTCGCACTTGAGATCTTCTTACTGTGCGCAAACTTTGACCTCGTTTTCCCGCGGATCCAGCGGGGATATGGCCGATTTGATGGTGGATTCGGAGAAAGAAAAGTAGGAAGAATCTGGGGACAAACTTTCGTAAATTTCGCGTTTCGTTAGGCCCCTCAAAGTGCACGACTTACTTTACTTGCGTGTCATTTTCCTAGATCCTGCCCGCGTGGCCTAATTGGTTAAGGTACCATCCTCCGGAGATGGTGATTGCGGGTTCGAGTCCTGCCGTGGGCTAACTTTTTGTCTTCCCACCCACTTGAACCTTTTTTTTTGCTCCCCTCAAACAGCCACAAACTAAAGTTCTCCATTTTTTCAATTGCAACTTGATTTCCACCCCGCTGGGTGTGCCGGTTCGGACCCTTTCATGGGTTAGGGCTGAAACCCTAGCGCGCTTAAGGTAGCGCTCGCACTAGCAGCCCCAGATGTCCTGCAGAGTGTACGCACCCGAAAATTTTCTACCACTTCTCAGTGAAGAGTCTTTTTTTCTCATAGATTCATCTGTAACCCATATCAATAATGGCCAAGTTCAGTCAAGGTATGTGGGTTTTCAAGCACCACCGATAACTAGAGCATCAAATGTCCCAGATTGATCCACCAGCTTTTCTCCCAGCTCCATAGCATATCCAGAACCCCAGATCTCCATCGTCAGAAGCACCTTTAAATGACAATTCCACAAATGAAAAATCCACCAGTCCAACTATCGATTACCCCCAAATCATCCGTATCTCAGAAGTACCGGTGAACGTGCTTTATTCCATCTATTTTGATCCAATACTAACAGTTAGACGTCTCTTCTTCTCGCTCCAAAGCTAGAAAGGCTCACTTCGCCTCCTCCTCTGCCACCAGAAGAGTGTTGATGTCTGCTCCTTTGTCCAAGGAGTTGAAGGAGAAGTACAAGATCTCTTCTTTGCCAATCAGAAAGGAGGACGAGGTTGTCGTTGTCAGAGGTTCCAAGAAGGGCTCTGAGGGCAAGGTCGGCTCTGTCTACAGATTGAAGTTCGCCATCCAGCTCGAGAAGTTGACCAAGGAGAAGTCCTCTGGTGCTTCTATCCCAATCAACATTCACCCATCTAAGGTTGTCATCAACAAGTTGTACTTGAGTGACGCCAGAAAGGCCTTGATTGAGAAGAGAGGTGGTAAGTTGGAGTAAGCCCTTGTAATTTAATAAACAGCACATTGGAAAGAAACATTTGTCGTAGAGTTTGATGGGTATAAATGAATGGTATTTGAGGATTCGCATTCAAGAGGTACCACCAATAGTTAATGTAGATGTGTAGTGAAGCCAAGCGAGGAATTGTTGCATCATTAAAGACTATGATTTTACATCGATAGGAGAAACTTTTAGAGAATTAGCAGTTGACTAGATCAAGGTTGTATATTGTGACGGCTATTTGGTTGCAAAATGTGTGTATTGTAGGAACATGGTCGAGGTACACCGATTCATTTGACCCTAATTAATTTTCTTAGTTGATTAGCCGATTAATTAAATATACCAGTGAAATGAAAATAAAATGGACTATTGTATTATGACATATTACGGAACATTTGCAAAACATGAACTTTGATGGATGGATAGTTGACTGATTATAGATACAGCTGCTAGTCAGTCATGGGGTTAGATTAGTTTCAGGTTCTGCAAAGTGCTGCCGTTTCAGACAGCCCTTCGTCTTCCTTATCGAAATCACGACAGGGCTTCTGATCTCCACCTCGACTATCATTAACTTCTAAACGGTATCAACCTTGCAATGGTGGATCCTGGACTCGTCTACCACTCGAACTTAATTGCATCACTCTTCAATTCCTCAAAATAAATAAAGTTTTCGATTGCTCGACTCTAATAAACCTTCTGATGGTACTAAAATAATCACTTCATCACTTCAACCCCAGAGCCAGCTGAAGGACAAGAAGCCAAAAAGGGCAGCCCAGCATCCCCAGAACCGATCCTCAAAGTTGTCTTCTCTCTGTTGATTTACAGCAACATTCTGTCCCGGAGGTGGCTGATAGTACCCCGGATAACCTTGATCGGGTGAACCTTTGTAGTCAGGTGGAGGTACATTCGGATACTGCTGATATGCCATATTGTAGGAAAGCCAATATTTAACAAAATTTTGTAACTAGCAAAATCGCCCCTTATATTCGTAAACCATATCATCTACCCTTAGACGCCAAGACCCACGGGATAACCCCAATTAGAGTCTTGTTTGTATGACCCATACACAATGTATGCTGTTTTCGTAACACCTCGTAAATCAAGATACATACGTTAGCTTTGGTATTAGGCAATATATATTGTTAAAAATCTCTTATTCATCTTTTGTTGTATGATCCTTTCATTTCCGGTTTTGCCATCCTTTGGTTTTCGCAGCCAAAAGTCAGAATCACCGTGGTACTTCAAACCACCAAATCGATCCATATTTCAGCAAACTCAACTGCAATCAGGAAAATCAATAAGACTTCAATACGTCCACTCTGAATAAAACCATATCTACCAAATCCCAAAATGTGCCATCACCTTATACAACAACAATCCGCCTTGTCCTACACACAACTCTCTGGGGTAGAATCGCAGAGCCCCAGAACTACTGTCTTCTTCAACGTCCACATTTAACATGTCTCAGTTTCCCGAGGACGATAGTGAACTTTTCAACGGTTTCGGCTCAGCTCCGCTACTGAGGAACCCGTCCCAAACGGGCCGCAGAACCAAGAAAAGATGGTCGTTCCACAACAATACAAGACCTAACTTGACCGAGCAACCAGCCTCGTTTAGTTCAGGTAGAAGGCTTCTGGACGTGACGGGAATCGACGGAGTCCATAAGCAGATAGATCCGTACCACATATCGCCAGCCCAATTGTATTCCACCGAGAGTGGACGGTTGTTCCACGCTGGTAAGATATGCATTGCTTTGGCGGGACTTCCTGGTCGGGGGAAAACACACTTGTCCGTGTCCTTGACTCGTTATTTGCGTTGGTTGGGTGTCAAGACTCACAGTTTCCATTTGGGCGACTACAGAAGGGCTACGGCGCCTTACAACGATTTGGACCAGGTCTTATACATGTCGGATAAAGACGGCGAGATGCCGGATCCATTCAAGAACAAGACCGTGGACGACTGTTTGAACGACATCTTGAACTTTTTTAAGAACGACAAGGGCCAGGTTGCCATCTACGATGCCGTGAACGCTTTGCCGGAGCACAGACAGCAACTCCAGGAGAAATTCGCCAGCGTCAACATCCAGTGCATTTTCATCGAGTCCATTGTCACCGACGAGCTGATATTGATGAAGAACATGGAAACTGCGGCAAAATCTTCGCCCGATTACGAGAACTGGTCGTACGAGGAGGCCTACAGGGACTACTCTTCCAGGATCGAGAGCCTCACGCCTTTCTACAAGGAGATGGACAACGCTGATCGGGAGAGAAACTTGTCCTATATCAAGATCATCAACTTTGGCGAACGCATTGAGTTGCATAATTCCAACTACGGATACTTGATCAACAAGGTGGTGTTCTTCTTGATGAACTCGCGAATCAAGCTGGGTTCGGTTTTCTTTGCTCGTTGTTACAAGAACGATTTGGACTACTCCAAAGATCCTCCGTTGGACGATGCGGGCTACAAGTATGCCAAAAACTTGACCAAGACGTTGACAAAGCATCTTGCATCCAAGGGTAGAGATATCATCACGCCCAAGAGCTCGTCAACGGACGTGGCTGGCATGAAGAAGACCTTGTCTACCGAGGAGAAACATCCACCTACCGGAGCTGATGGTATTGATGACGACTCGTTCGTGGTTTGGACCTCTGTCAAGAGAAGAACCGTCGAGGCATGCCAATTCTTCCGTGAAATGAACGTCAGCGTCCGCCACAGAATTCAATTATCGCAGAGAAACCCAGGTATTGTTGCTGGTATGACAGACGAGGAGATCCAGGAGAAGTTCCCACTGGAGTACGAGCTGTTCTTAAAGGACCCTTACCACCACAGGTTTTCGAGAGCAGAGCTGTACCACGACTTGGCAATCAAGATCGAGCCGCTTATTCTTGAGATGGAGCGCATGAGTGGAGATATCTTAATCATCGCCGATGAGACCGTCTTGCGTGTGTTCCATGGCTACTTAATGGCCTGTTCGTGCTATGACATTCCCTCCTTGGAATTCAACACCGACGAGATCATCGAGGTCAAGTTCAGTGCCTACTCGAACAGCGCTAAGCGTATTCCCATCGAGGATTTCGACTAGGCCTGTTTGAGGTTCTCCTAGGTTTTCGCAACCGACTGTATGGGTGGGGTCTCATTCGCACTAAGTTGATACTCCATCTTGAAAGTTAACCATCAGCACAGTATGCCCACACTAGTCCCTGCGGCTACGTACTCTGCTCCAGGTGAGCCTAAACCCACATACTTTCTTCCCGGCGAGGGTCTACATACCACTGACGGAAAGACCACCCAGATCTCTGATGTCGTGATCGGTGCTGGAGGTGAAGACAGGGACAAGCCCACGCCTGCTCTGAAGACGCCTTTGGGATCGCTTCGTGCTCAGTTGACGACGATTCAAGATCAGCTCAATGTGTTTCTCACAGAGAAAATGCTGAACAAGAGGAAGCATGAGGATGACGATGTGGAACGTCGTATACTCGACGAGGGCATCGATGAGGATAGCGACTGAGGAGGTTGTTGATGGATAACGAAGCAGCCGCTGAGTCTGTTTTGTCCAAATGAACTCCCCACGGAAATGAACTCGGGGTCATTCCTCGATACCTATTTAACTGCTAATGAACATGACGGCACCAACGGTGTAGATTCCGTACCATTCTATTTGACCTCAGGGCATTCATAGCCACCAACTGACCATTAGCTCTCATGAAAATACGGGTTTCATCAGTATCTGTTGTATATATTCGTCTATATCGTCATTAAGAACACCCCACAGCATCATATGATAAATATCACCTTCAAAACAGCCATCTCCATTACTTCTTGAACCCAGAGATCTGGGCCATGTTGTCAACGGTCTTTTCCAACGTAGTCTCCAAATAGTTCTGCTTCTTCTTCAACGAGTCCTGGGTCTCAAGGAACTCCTTCTTGTCCTTGCCAATCTTGTCCACATACGAGTCCACATCTCTCACAACGAAAGCCTTTCCAACGCCTTGCCAGACATTGTCACCTGGGTTGGTGAGTTTCCTCAATTTGCTGGTGGTGGAGTCGATGATCTTGACGTTGTGGTTGACTCTCTCTAGCTGGACATTGCACATGTTCAACTCTGCTCTGGACTTATTGAGCTGGTTGTCCATCTCGACGAGCAACTTTTGTAAAGATTGAGGATCGAGCGACATTTTGTGTATTTGATGTGTTGAACGTTGTGGGTGGTAGTTGGATTGGAAAACCAGGTGTAGATATATTTTAGTGCGACATCACCAACTCAGCTACACCATGCTTGCAACAGTTCGACCAGTGGGTGCCAGAATTGGTCTTGGATGCAGGGCCTTTGGTATTTCGGCTGCACGTCTCGCCACTAAAGCCTCTGATGTGCCATATACCTCGTCGAGAGCTGTGGGCGGTGATGTGAATAATGTCAGATCTGAGACCAACCGTTTGGAAAAAACGCTTCTGCGTTTCTGGAACAAGGCTAGCGCTGCCTTCGATGAGACTTTGAAAAAGTGGGTGGTTAACTTGGACAACAAGCCACTCAAGACGCCGTTGGGTAATAAGCTTGCCATTCCAGAGCGTAAAGAACAACTAGCGCTTCTTGTGGCTCACGAATGGGACAATTTGTTGGACATGAAGATCAAGCCCACGAATTTGCCGTTGACCTCTTTGACCTCAAGAGCTGTTGACTTGAGCAGCGTGTTCGAGACGGAAAAGCCCGACCCAAACATGGTGATTAAGATCGGCGATCTCCAGGACGTCAAACACGACTTATTGAAATATTTGGACACCGACACCTGTCTTATTTTCGCCACTGAGGACGAGTACGAAGGCAAGCTTAGAAAGAGACAGAAGGAGTTGTACAATGCCTTGATTGAGGAGTACAACTCTTTCTTCACTGAGTTTGGCCGCCAAAATGGCTTGTTGCCATCTGAGAACCACAAAGTGCAATTGCAGACTTTGGACTGTGAGACTGACGGTCTCAGAGGAAACAGCCAGACTGCTGAAGACAG